GGCTGCGACCACGATGAGCATGGTGTGTAGTCATGTTAATAAATGACACGCATATCATGATTATCATGTTTGCACCAGTCATATACCTTCGTCATCAATTCATATCTCGTAACATCAAACTTGGTATATGTTAAGCTAGCGAAATTGCAGCAAGCGCAATATGGGCGTAGCATGTACTCACGTTTTACATGACACGCATGAAATGATTATCATGTTTGCACCACTCCACCTTCCTTCGCCATCTATTCACCTCACGTAATACCACAGTTGATATTTACGAATTTAGGGGCAGCGGTGACAACGTGAACGCATGTTTACAAGGAGTAAGGCAGCCGCGATGACAGCAACAGTCGGCACTTTACAGATGCACACTACGGAAGACGACACGTCGTCGACGGCCTTGGAACCCCCTGTTCCGACTACGCAGGAAAACTTGGCATAGGCCGCGGGAGCCCCAGTCTCATCACACATCACGCCACCAGTGCCCCATCAGCCTCTTCTGTCGGAGTTTGATGTCCAGGATACGCCAAATAACCCTCACCAGTCAAGCGTTGTGTTCAGTCTACGTATACCGGACTGCCTGCAGCCCTTGTTTCACAAGGGGAGGCCCACAGGCAAGCCCTTATGCAAGATTTCGAAACTCGCTTCGCTACTCGCTTCGCTACTCGCTTGCTCTCTCTTGAGGCCACCCTCACACAACTTGCCCCGGCGGCGGATGTCGTCGCCGACCAAGCTGCGCAGCTCTCTTTCATTGACGAGGAGTCCATTTTTGAGCAACGTGTGTCTACTGCGGTCGAACGAAATGTTCCTCTGTCAGCTCAGCCTTGGTTTTCGGAGCACAACTTCCACCGCCAACCTCCGATGGCACCACGTCGTGGGCAGCACTTTTAGTACGGTTCGAGTCCGTTGCTGCCCTAAACGGTGTTAAGGGTAGGAAGTTGATGATGGCACCCCACCGGTGTTCGCAAGTTGTAGGAATACGAGGTCGATCATGGCATCGCGGGCTTCTTCAAGGTGGCTGGCTCCCTGCCGTCGTCCGCATAGCCGATATTCACCAGTGAGGAGACGCCTTCGTAAGAGAGATAGAAAGAAAATTTATCTACACATAGCTGAAAGATTTAACTGTACAGAGATTCAGAAGATTCAGTTCCGATTTACAAAATGCTTCGGCTTTTATAGCCCGTTGATTCTTTGCATGGCAGTCCGAAGAAGGCGGTGACCACTGTTGCCGCAAATCAGTGACGTGATGTCTCAGTGATCCACCCACCAGAAAGAGTGCAGGAAATGGGCTCCTCGTGAAAAGAAGAACGGGGTGAGAATGTCCAATGGTCATCACGAGGCACCACACAATGACGAACCCGCCCCACGCCTTGATGACACCGCAGGGCGGAGAGTAGAGCCCTGAGAGGGAGAGTTGAGCTTCTCCAGGGAGATGGCCGCTGACACGAACGCCAGCAGCGGTCCATGGCTGCTGTCAGCTAAAGGCTTCCAGAACTCTCTCGAACTCTGCAGTCCAAGCGCTCATCCCTGAGAACGGCTTCTTCGGCACTTTCTCACGCTTCGAAACTGTTCGAGATTTGCGATGGCCTCGCGCAGTGACAATAGCCGAGTCAAGAGGTCGAGTTCATGAGAACAGCCACATTGGCGCCGTCCCACGCTGTTCAGGCCCGTTCAACAGGAGGGTTGTCTCATGAAGCTTTAGTTGATGCCCGACCACAAAGAACTACCAGGAAACTATACAGGACAGCGACGTGCTTTTCACTTCCGTCCGGGCACCGATTTCGGGGAGAAAGCTTCTCGCAGACCGGCTCACGCACAATGGCATCTGCTGAGACGAACTGCCGGGCCAAATGTAACAACGACTGAACAGCTCAAAATAAAGCTCAGGTACTCGTTGTGCAGCTCTGTGGCACCGTAGTTGAATACCTCGGGCACATCCCGCAAGTCGTTAGCTCGAACTATGAAGCTCTGGTCTCGGCGCTGGAAACCAGATTTGGTGACAGTCATCTTCTTCAGCTTTACCTTACACAACTGAAACACGTCCGGCAAGGTCACCGCAACCTTGAAGAGCTCGCTGCTCATGTCGCCACTTGTCCCGAAAGACCTTCTTGAGTTGCCTTACAGCAACCTTGGACGTTACTGCTGCCAATGCTTCTGTTGATGTCATCAACAGAAGCGTCCAGCACTTCGTCCACCTCGCTCGTCTGATTGACGTACGATCAACTTTAGCTGTCACTCTTGAGGCGGAGATGTGAAAACGCTCGCAAGCAGCTGAGGACCCATACCGGAGGCCAACCTACACAGAACACCATCCCGGACTCAGCATTCGGCTCCTACTCAACTCCACGATCCTACAGCGTACTCTGGTGCTACCACTGCCACGACGTTGGGCATTTTGCTCGGAACTGTCCTCGGTGACCGAGTCGCTGACAAAGTCAACTCCTCCTATGCAGTCTTCCTCGGGAAACTACAATGAGGGCCACCGAGGGCAGGACCCCACATGATTTGATTGATATGTGGGGTTTAATGTCCCAAAACCCCATGTGATTATGAGAGACGCCGTAGTGGAGGGCTCCGGAAATTTCAACCACCTGGGGTTCTTTAACGTGACCCCGCATCATGGCTGAAGCCCCTCTTCTTTCACTTGGCGTCTTCACCAAGATGAAAACTCTACGGGTGAAGCTTGGAGATCCGTCGCAGCACGTTGAAGCACGAGTAGACACAGGGGCTGCATTCAGTTTTTAGGGATGAGTTTCTTGTCTGGAAGATTTTCGGTGAGCCCTGAGCAGGTCGATTGACCCCATCTCGTCCTAGCTGATGGAGCCACTGTACTTACTCTCGGCGAAGACTGCCTGAATGTGTGTGCCCTTGGGAAGACTTGAGACAGCGGATCCTTGTTGTCCCAAATTTGTGCGTGTCAGGGATCTTAGGCTGTGATTGGTGCACAGAGTTTGGCATTAGGTTGCAGTTTAACGCCACTGATTGCACCATTGAACTGACATCTACTGCTTCGACACCGATTCGAGCAAGTGTTGAAACTTCCAATAAAGCTTGCTCTAGGCAGTCGTATTTCCCGTCGAGTCATGTCCTTTAGACAACTGTTGATAAAGCGCACTCCATGCTCGCCGACAACTGCCGCATGATGAAAAGTCTGATTATTTGATTTTCTTCGAAAGTCGGCATTCTAACAACGGGCACGAATACGGCCATTGGTACAAAGAAATTAACAACCTGAAATTGGAAAACCATCCCTGCTTTTCAATCCTGTGAATATGGCAACCTCAGTTACCATCCCCTTGTCGTCTGCTGCGTGGGTTCCTGTTCACAGCCCCTACAAGTTCTGTGTTGACAAGGACATTTTGTAGAAAAACCGTTAGTTCCCAGCCTGGAGACGAATTCACACTGCCGCGGCCCTCTAGCGCTGTTCTGGCAAAACCTTTGCAATGCTTGTCTTCAACCTGTCCGACAGCATCCTGTGCGTGCCTCCAGGCAACGTACTCGGTACCTGTACCTGCCATGAAGCACTCTCTGTCGTAGCAGTAGTAATGTCCGTAGCACATTCACCGCCAACTGCATCGCCCTTAGACTGGAATTAATTCAACTTCGGCCCCAACTTGACTCCGTCACAGAAAGCTGAATTCAAGCACTTCTACGGAAATTCTGTGACTGCGTGGCGAAGTCACCCAGTGAGCTCGGCCACATTCCTTTGGTGCAGCACAGAATCGACATCGCTCTGAAGTTCTTGTTCGGCATCACCCGCGCCGAGTCTCTGCTTCTGAACACGCTGAATGGCTAAGAAGTGGATGACATGCTTAAGCGTGTATAATATCGCACTCGTCAGTGCGTGGTCGTTCCCCATAGTTCTTATGAGAAGAAAGATGGCAAAATCTGTTTCAGTGTCGACTTTTGACGGCTAAACAGTGTCACCAAACCTCACGTGTGTCCGCTTCCTCGTCTTGACGACGCCCTTGACCGCCTGCATGGTGCCCGTTTTTTCACTACGCTGCATCTTCTTGCTATTGGCAGGTAGCTCCCACGTTTCCCGAACCCTCAGGCGTTTGGAAATGGTCTTGCGTGCTCTCCAAGACCTCGCCTTTGTATTAAACCTTCGAAGTGCTTTTGCGGCTTTTCGAAGTCAGTTACTTGGGGCACGTAGTCAGCGCCAAAGGCATCAGCCCTAATCCCATGAAGCTCCAAGCCATCACCTGTATTCCGCCTCCACCACGGCTAAGCAGCTCAAACTTTCTTGGGCTCCGCTTCACATTTCAGGCATTTTCCTCTCTGACTTCGCTTCTCGTGCGGTACCTCTTAACGAGCTGTCGAAGAAAGAAGTTCGCTGGAAATCAGGACCCGACAAAAAGAACTTCCTTCCGCCACCTCAAGACTGCCCTTCAAGCACCACCGACGCTCGCCCACTATGACGAGAATGCCCCGACGATTTTACACACCGATGTCAGGGTCTTGGCCTCGGAGCTGTTCTCTTGCGAGTTAACGACGACGGGACAGAGAGACTGGTTGCTTATGCGAGCGACCGGCTCAGTGAATCAGATGGCCACGCCTCTGAACTTGAGTTCTTGGCCATAGTTTGGGCCGTGAGAAAATTCGTCCGTACCTTATGGTAAAGGCTTCGCGGTCGTTACCGACAACATCGCCCTTCGCTGGCTTCAAACAAAAAAAGGCCTCAATGCTAAGATCGCCAGGAGGTTCTCGACCCTGGCATGTTTTCGGGGCGGACAGCACGGACGTCGAAGAATGGCTCGCATTATTCGAGCGCGTCAGCAAGCACTACAGTGGGACGAAACGCTTATGCTGGCAAATATTCTATTCTACCTACGGAGTACGGCACGCGCCTGG